GGGCCCCCCCGCGTTGGCTGCTGCGCCGTCTGCGGTCGGCCCCTCTCCGTCCGGTTCTCCGGGCCGGCCTTTCCCTCCCTCTTCCGCGCCGGGGCGCCCCGCCCCTCTCCGCGCTTCTCCTTGCGCTCTGCCTCGGCCCTCCGTTGCCCCCCGCCGTTTTTGGCTCCCTGCCCGCCCCCGGGGGTTTTTCTCCCGCCCCCGGTCCGTTGCGCGCCTCCTGTCTCTGTCCTCCTCGCTCCGCCCCCTTGCCCCGGCTCGCCTTCCCGCTCCTCCTTGCTCTCGTCCCTCCTCCGCCCCTCGCTCGCTGCGCTCTCCCCCCCCGCGCCCCGCCTTCTCGCCCCTCTCCCCCGGTTCCCTCCTGCCTGTTGGCGGGTTTCTTTGTCTGTGTTGTCCGGCCCGCGGCGGCCTCCCTGCTTCTTCGTTCGCCGGCCCCCTCCGTCCCCTTTTGGTCGCTCGGGCTCCCGTCCCCCTCTTTCGCGGCCTGGGCCCCCCGGGCCCTTTCTCCCGCCCCTCGCCCCGGCCCCGCTCCTCCCCTTGGCTCTGGCCCCTCCCTGCTGCTGCTCCCGCTTTCGCTCGCCCTCCTCGTGCTTTGGCGGCGCTCTCGCGCCCCGTCTTTCGTGCCCCTTTCGGGCCCCTCTCCCTCCTCTTTCTTTGGCTGCGCGGCCTGTCTTTCCCCGGTGCTCGTTTTTCCCCTTCTGCCGCGTGGCTCCGTGCTCCCCCTCCCCTTGGGCCTCGTGCCCCGGTGGTTTGGCCCTCGTGGGCCCCGCCCTCTTGCCTGGTGCTGTGGGCGGGGTTTCCGCGGCCTCCCCTCCCCCTCTGGTTTTTTTCCGCTTTGGCGCGCGTCTGGCCTCCCTCGTGCCTTCCCCCTCTCTTGTCCCGCCCTTGGTGCCTTGGTCTTTGCCGCGTTCCTGCTTTTTGCTGGTTGGTTTCCTTCTCCTCCCGCGGCTCCCCCTTGGCTTGGTTTCCCGCTGTCGCCTCTCTGTTGCCTCCCCCTTTGGCGGTCTCCTCGGCCTTGGGTCTCTCGCTTGGGCGGGGCCTCCCGTCCCTGTCTCTTTCCCGCTTCCCCCTTTCTCCCCGCTGGCGTCGCTCCTCCCGCGCTCCGCCTCTCTTCCGCCGTTCGCCTCGCGCTCTCTGGCTCCCCCCCCCCGCGCCCCCCCCCTTTTTCCCTTGCCTTGGTCCCTGCCGCCTTTCTTCCGTTTCGTGGGGCTTCGCTCCCGTCCTGGGGTCTGTGGCTGCCCGCTCTTGCCCCCCTCCTTTCGCTCTTGCCCTTCTTTTCCTGCTCGCGGGTCCCTGTCTCGGCCCCCCTGGGGCCTTGTCCTGGCCTCCCGCCCTTTTCGCCGCTCCTCCGGGTCCCTTTCCGGGTCCGGGCCCTCCCGGCCTCTCTGCGCTCCTCCCCCGTCCTGGCCTGCTCCCTTCTCTCTTCCCCTCGCCCTGTTCGGCTCTTTCCCCCTTCTTGTCGCTCCCCCTCTGTCTTCCCTGCCCCCTTCTCCCTCTCTGGCTCCTGCCTCTGGTCCCCCCTGTCCTTCTTCCCCCTCCCCTGTGGCTTGGTGGCTTTCTTCTCGTTGGTGCTGCTGCGCCTGCCGCCCTTTTTCTGGTCCGCGCCTCTGCTCCCCCTCCTCGCTCCCCCGCTCTCTTGGCTCGTGTCCTTCGCCCTCGTGCTGCCCTCCTCTCCCCTCTCCCTGGGCCTGTCTCTTTCTCGGCTTTCCCCGTTTTGGTTTGTCTCTTCCTCCTGCTCCCCTGCGCGCTTTCGGGCGTCCTCCCGCTCTGTTTTCCGCTCCCGCTCTCCCCTTCCCCCCGTTTTTTGCTCCCTGGCTCCCCCCCCCCTGCTTTCGCCCCCGGTGCCCCCGCTCCTGGTGCCCCCGCCCGCCCCCCGTTTCCCTTGGGGGGTGGTGCTTTTGTCGCCGTGGGTGGCCCCGTCGCTTTGGTGCCTCTTCCCCTTCGGCCCGCCGCTTTCTTGGTCCCTCCCTTCCTGCCTTTCCGCTTCCTGTGCCGGTCTGCTCCTCTTGCCCGGTGTTCTCTTTGCTCGTCGTTCCCGTTTGCTCCCGGCTCCCGCCCCTCTTGGTTTTCGTTTTCCTTGTGCTGGCCCTGGCCGCGGGGGTCCCTGTCCCGTCTCCGCCTGGGCTCCTGTCTTTTCGGCCTCTTCTGGCTGTCCCCTTCCCTTTCGGTCGTCCTCTTCCCTTTCCGTTGGCCCCTGCCGTCCGCTGTTTGGGGCCGTCTCCGCGCTCCCGGGGTCCTCCTCCTCTCCCGGGCGGCCCCTTTGCGCCGCGTTCTCTTCCTCTTCCTGGGTGGCTCCGCGCGCTTTCTTCTGGCCCCGGCCTCCCGGTCCTTCCGTCTTCTGGTTCTTCCTTCTCTGCCTCCGGTCTTTTTTTCTTCGGTGCTCCTTTTGTCTGGGCTTTTCGTTTCCTGTTTCTCTTCCGTGGCCGTGGTTCTTGGCCCGCCCTTCTTGCCTCCCTCGTTTGGGCTCCTCCTCCCTTCCCCGTTGCTCCTGCTCCTCCCCCCCCGCGCCTTGCGCCTTGTCCCCGGGCGTGCTGTCGGCGTCCCCCCTTCCCTTCTGGGTGGCCTTGCCCCCCCTGGGCCTTCTTCTTCGCCCGCCTTCTTGCCGTCGGCTCCTGGCTCGGCGGCTTTGCCCGGCCTTCTGGCCTTCCGCTTTCCCCGGTTTCGCCCCGGCTTCGCTCCGGCCCCCCTCCTCGTCGTCTTTGGTTTGGTCTTGCTCCCGCCCCTGCCTTCGCGCGTCCTGCTGCTCTTCCTGCGGCCCGTCTTTCTCCGCCTCTTTTTGCTTCGCCCTTCGGTCCCTTCGCCTCCTTTTTCTGTGGCCTTCCGGCCCTCTGTTTCCTGTCGCTTGGCCCGGCCCTTTTGCGTCGTGGGTCCCGGCCCCTTTCCCTGTCCGCCCTCTTGCTCCTGCCCTTTGGGCTCCTCCTTTTGGTCCCCGGCCGTGGCCGCTTTTCCTCGCGGGGGTGCTCTCGGCCCGGTGCCTCTCGCTTCTTCTGGTGTTTCTCCGTGGTGGTCTCCCCTCGGTTTCCGCCCTCCTGCCGCTCTTTCTCCTGGCGCTCTTTTTCTCTTCTTTTCTGCCCTCTCCTTCCTCGCCGGTTGGTTCCCCCTCCCCCGCCGTGGCCCCGCGCGTTTCGTGGTTCCCCCCTGCCGCCTCCCGGCTGCCTCCTCCTTTGTCCGGCCTCTTTGGCGTCCGTTCCTTGGCTTGGCCCGGGCCTTTCGTCCCTGTTGCTCTTCCTGCCTCCCGCGGGCGTCCGTTCGCTGGCCTCCTTTCTTCGCCGTCTTCGCCGCCCCTCCCGGCTTCGGCCCCCTTTTTCCCCGGTCCGTGGCCTCTTTCTGCTCCCCCCCCGCTTCCCGTCGTCCTTTCTTTGGGCCCTCCCCGGCGCCGGCCCTGCCCTTCTCCCGCTTCTCGGGGCTTTCCTCCCCCCCGCCCCGTTTCTGGCTGCCCGCTCTTGCCCCCCCCTCCTTTCGCTCTTCCCTTTCTTTTTCGTTGCTGGTCCTCTGTCTCGCCCCCCTTTCGGGCTTGGGCCCCGTCTGCCCGCTCTTTTCGCTGCCCCTCTTCCTCCGGGCGGCCGCCTCGGTCGTGGGCCTCCGGGTCTTTCTGCCCCTCCCTCTTCGCTTCCTTTTCCCTTCGGCCTTGCTCTCGCTTCTTTCGGGGTTCTTCCTTCCTTGGTCGCTCCCCCCTGTCCTCTTTCCCTGCTTCTGCCTTCCTCGCCCCGCCTTTCCTCCTCCCGCTGCCTTCTCTCCCCCTCCCCCGTCTCTCGCCGGCTTCCTCCTGCCCGGCGCTTTGCTCCTGGCGCTCTCTTTTTCCTTCGCGCTTCCCCTCCGGCGCCCCCTGCCGCTCCTGTCTTGGCCCGCCTGTTCGCTCCTCCCGCCGCTCTCCTCTCTCCTTTTGTTGGGCTCGTCTCTTTTTGGCTTCCCTCCCTTGGGCCTTTCTGTTCCTCCTGCTGTCCTGCTTGCCTTTGGTCCCCCGGCGCCGCCCCTCTTGCTCGCCCCTCTCTTTGCTCCCTGGC